CTGTAACCGTTTCATTTTAGGGGAGGTTGGGCGTAGGGAAGCAAGGGATGAACAATATACACTACACTTTCTTCCCTTGTTATAAATCTTATGCATAGTGGTTAGACTTTTACTCTTTCTTATGTTGGTATGGGTTTTTCTGATGATAACCAGACATGTGCCACTCGTTTGCAGCTTTGGATATCACAGCATGCCCTGAAGAGCAGATAATAAGCTGTAACCAAATTGATAGTGAAGATGCTGATAATGAAAATCAAGACGAATCAGTTGTTGCAATGATTGAAGAGCCAAACTCAGGTATTATAATAAAATCACTTTGTAGATTTCTCTTCCTTGGGTCCTATTTTCCTTGAGAACTTTTGTGGTTCTTAAATTCTTTTTTAGTTTCCTGAATTCAGTATGACTTGAAATGCTACTCTGATGAATTTGTAAAAATAGAAAGGATACACAATATGAAACATGGTTGCAATTCCATGAGATATAAAAGGCTTGGTGATGGCTAGTCTCTGAATAAATATTACCCCAAAATAGGTGTCCTGTCCCATTTTTTCATGGATCAGTTTGTCTCTTAAGGTGGTAGGTTTTAAAGGGTCATTTGTTTCCATCGTGTAATATCGTCTTTATTATGCTAAGGCAACTCCCATTTAGAGGGAATTTATGCGAGAGATTTTGGAACTGTTCTTCCTGGCCTGCCTAGGGAAATCAGATTTGCTCAGAAGTAAAAAGTTCAGTTGTTAGACTTGTATGTTAGAACTATTCTGGGCATGTATTTGTGCTGCATATTGACTTCTGTCAGTTATCCTCACATAGTGGATTAAGTATCTCATGAAAGTAGTTTCGGAGATCGGGCAGCCCGGTGCACTAAGCTCCCACTATGTGCGGGGTCCGGGAAAGGGCCGGACCTAGTTTCGGAGATCAAAGCAGGGAAAATTCTGTAACCTGGACAAGAAATCTTGCTTCGAGTTATCAACTAAGTTGAAATGGATCACGGGAGACTATTTCCCAGTAGAGGCAAAAAAGTTGGGGGATTCCTTCTCATCTTTCTAAGCTTTGGTGGTTGGAGTTACCTGGTATACTAGTGGGAGGTAGCACACGATGGATTGGTTGAGGTACAAGGCTATAAGCAAGCTGGTCCAGGTACCACAACAATGAATGAAAAGAACTCTTGTTTCTAGTTGTCAGTTTGTTTCTGACAGGATAAATTCTTATATTAGATTAAGATAGATTGAGTTTGTTTAGCTACCAATTTGCTCAAGTGATGTATTATTTTTTATTTAATAAGTAACTTGTTTGATTGGATGCAGAGTTTAGTATACACTGGCTGGTTTTTGTTATAATTTGTATTCCAAGATTAAGTTGTAAATGCCTTTTTGAGAAAACCCAGGAGCGCAATGCATTAAATTTTGTGCTCAGATTTCTTTTGTCACTTTTGAGCCTTAATTATATGATGGGGTTTCCCTGTGTGCCAGCATGAACGGGAAAGACAGATGAGCAAACCTAAAGAAAATTTCATTAATGGTCTTCATATGAGCACCTTGTGGTTACAGAGTGCAGTTTTATCGTCCTCTGCCTCCAATGAAGTCATGAAAAAGGGTGGTGTGGCACAAGCTGGAAAAAATAGATAAACCATGTTATGTTTTCGGTGCAGGAGATGAAGCTGCTAACAGTGACGATTCAACTTGGAACTGTGATTCTCCAAGAGTTATAAAAGTTAAAACATTACACATTAGCTCCCCCATTTTAGCAGCAAAGAGTCCATTTTTCTACAAGGTAAACATTCGGTTTCATGTGTAAGCTGCTTATGCACTGTCTTGAATTTGTATTTGAAGTTTGAACCTGCTTTATTATATAACTTGTGCAGCTCTTTTCAAATGGGATGAAAGAGTCTGAGCAAAGACAAGTAACTCTGCGGATTAATGCTTCAGGTATGTGTGCTGTTGTTTGACTTAATGATCAATAACTTTAGTAAAGTTTGATGCGGACAAGGTTTCTCATCAATGCAGTTTCCCGTTCATCATGGATATGAGGAATTTACAAATTGTAGGAAATTGAAATGCTTGTTCTGTCATATTTTAAGTGTTTTATAATATTTATCTACTGGTTATAAAAAGAATAGTAATATTTATTCACTGCACATATGGTTTTGAAAATTGTGAATCAAATGTTGCTACTTCATCTGTGAAGTGGCTTGAAAGTCAGTATCCTTCTCGCGTAAAGTGATTTTTCTACATTCATTCTCATGGAGCAGAGGAAGCTGCATTGATGGAGCTCCTGAATTTCATGTATAGCAATACATTAACTACAAGTACAGCTCCTGCTTTGCTGGATGTACTCATGGCTGCTGACAAATTTGAGGTTGCTTCTTGCATGCGGTATTGCAGCCGGCTATTACGCAATTTGCCTATGACTCCGGAGTCAGCGTTGCTGTATTTGGAGCTTCCTTCTAGTGTCCTGATGGCTGAAGCAGTTCAGCCATTGACCGATACAGCAAAACAATTCCTAGCTGCAAGATACAAAGATATAACCAAGTTAGTTCTGTTTATGTACTCTTTTCCTTTTTCTTTTGTTTTGAAGTTTGTTATCCAAGGAATATTTCTGCTACCAGAATTTTTTCGACCAATTTCAGCATAGTTCAAAGTTTGGTTTCAATAATAAGTTCTGATTAGCAAAACTGGAAAAATTCCAGACATCTGGGTAACATATTGGCAACTTTGTAAAAATTTTAAACTATCAATTGTAACATAAGAATTTGATGTAAGCAATTATACAGAAGAATATAACAAGACCACCATATATTTATACGTGTGCATAAAATTTTCATTTAAATTTAACATCAGAAGGTTGGCAATAAATTAACGTACATTATGGTTTCAATGCATAAACCGTTACTTAAGGAAAGTGATGTAATTCATTTTAATTTGTAAAAGCAATATGACATGAAATTTTTAACATGTTGCTCTTGGGTGAATGGTAGATATGGATTACATTTGTAAATGTTCTTATTAAAGCATGTGGTACTTGCCTATGCTCGTTAATGATCTCATGCATCTTTGCTCAGGTTTCAAGAAGAGGTCATGAAGTTACCTCTTGCTGGTATTGAGGCAATTTTGTCCAGTGATGACCTCCAGGTGGCATCAGAAGATGCCGTATATGACTTTGTCTTGAAGTGGACAAGGGCTCATTATCCCCAGATAGACGAACGGCGAGACATTCTTAGTTCAAGACTTGGGCATTGCATCCGTTTTCCTTTCATGAGCTGCCGAAAGCTTCGGAAGGTTCTCACATGTAATGACTTCGAACATGAGTTTTCATCCAAGCTTGTGCTTGAGGCCCTCTTTTTTAAAGCTGAGGCCCCTCACCGTCAGCGAACTCAAGCTGCTGAAGAATCAGCTTCGTCTAGTCGTCGTTTTGTCGAACGTGCATATAAGTATCGGCCTGTTAAGGTGGTTGAGTTTGAACTTCCACGGCACCAATGTATAGTCTACTTGGATCTTAAGCGGGACGAATGTGCTAATCTGTTTCCATCTGGGAGAGTATATTCTCAAGCTTTTCATTTGGGTGGGCAAGGGTTTTTCCTATCCGCACATTGCAACATGGATCAGCAAAGCTCTTTCCATTGTTTTGGTCTCTTTCTTGGAATGCAGGAAAAGGGTTCAGTTTCATTTGCAGTTGATTATGAATTTGCTGCAAGGACAAAACCAGCAGAGGAGTATGTCAGCAAATACAAAGGGAACTACACTTTTACTGGGGGTAAGGCAGTTGGCTACCGCAACTTATTTGCCATACCATGGACTTCTTTCATGGCTGAGGACAGTCTCTATTTTATTAACGGCGTACTCCATCTCAGGGCTGAACTTACTATCAGGCACTGATTTTCTTATCTCCACGACATGAATTAATGCTGTTGTTTTGCTTATTAGCTGAGCCGAAGTACGAATCTTTCTTGGCTTTGAACAAGCAAAGAAGAAAGATTTAGGTGTCATTACTAACTGTCATAGGTATTGAAACCTTTTTTTAATCCTTTTGACCATAGTTCATCCTTGTGCTCTCAAAACATGAGAAAGGATGTAAATGGAAATTTCAGGAGTGAGAGATGTTGGTTGTTCTAACCTGTTCAAATGCAATGGAAGTTCGGAGGTTCTTTTGAACATTGTGAATAGGTTATTTAACTTTCTTATGGCCCAGTAGAAAATGTATAATTTATGTGTAGCTACCAGAGTTATCAGCGTTGTAGCAATATCCTTCTACTGACTAATGTTATTCCTTTGTAGCAGTATGCACGAGGCAAAGGCAGTGAATGAACTGAGTTGTGTGGTATGGTAAATGTTGTGCTTGCCAAGCTTGAATTTGTTCATAAGCATATCTAAAACAAGAATTAGGCTATCATTTTTTTTAATCTTTGCTTAAATTATAGCAATTTCCACACTATGAGTTGAAATTAGACTATCATTTTTTTTTTCATTCGGCAACCTGCACAATGGTACATGAGATTTGATGGCTTAAACAACCTGGTATTTATGTATATTCCATATCATTATAATTTCTCTGTCGTACAAAATGGGTGAGAAATTCTCCTATTCATAGGCGTAAAAACACCTTGGTCCCCAAGTTACACTTTGTAAAGTTACCTTGGCCCCCAAGTAAATAGCTGAGAAAGTCCCCTTTTTTTCTTTTGGTACGTAAAAAGAATTTATTTACCAAATCTTTTTACTTACAGGAAAAAATTACCTAGGTCCCAAAGTAACTAGATTACTCCAAACTAACTAAACTAGTGTCCATGTAATTAGCTTGCTCTTCAAGTAATTTCATATTGTACGAACATTCATAATTCATAGTATTATTTTACAACAAAATCCACTTTAATTAGAGACAACAAAACTTATGAAACATAAATAAACAAAACTAACAATCCGATTCCTATACAATATAGATTAGGATTATTTTTGGTTAATTCCTATATTAGGTAGAACACATGTGACGTTAGTTTTCCTAGTTCGATCTGGAAAACAAAAATACTTAAGTATATAATTAGGAGAAACGCAAATTATAAGCAGCAAAACATAAGCTTATAACAGAGAGAGAAAGAATGCCGAAGAACAAGGGAAAAGGAGGAAAGAACAGGAAGAGAGGGAAGAACGAAGCAGACGACGATAAAAGAGAACTAATATTCAAAGAAGATGGGCAAGAATACGCACAAGTACAACGTATGTTAGGTAATGGCAGATGTGAAGCGCAGTGTATTGATGGAACAAAACGTCTATGTCACATACGTGGTAAGATGCATAAAAAAGTTTGGATTGCTGTTGATGATATCATCCTCGTTGGTCTTCGTGATTATCAGGTAATTAATACACCATTGGTTTTTCCTCTCTTTTTTTCTTTTCTTGTTTTTCATGTTCATCTCAAGGCCAGGTTTTTACGCGTTACTTATCCGTCGCCACTGACGGAAGCATCACTTTCTGTTCGACTGGCATCTTTTTCTTCTTAGAATCTGATTTCTAACTTTTGTGAGAACCTTGGTCTTTTTCCGATGTTTAGATTCGTAATTTATGTGCACGGTGTAAAAAATATTTACAAAATTAAATTATTTCAAAGGTAATTTCAGATAACTCTATTTGATAGTATTGGATGGCAATCTTTAGTAAATAGACGTAACATGTTATAACATGTTAAATTATAATAATGGTGTAAAAGCATTATTACATAGTATAAATAAATAGCCATCCGTATAATTTGACAAAATTACTTACTAGCATAGTCCTAGTAGTTCTTTTATGGTTTTAATGCTCTTTGGTAATTGCCAGGATGATAAAGCAGACGTGATTCTGAAGTACATGCCAGATGAGGCGAGGCTGTTGAAGGCGTACAAAGAGTTGCCTGACAACATTAGGCTCAATGAGGGCCTTGGTGGTGGATTTGATGATGAGGAAAACGGCATTGCTGATAATTGTGTTGAGTTTGAGGATGATATTGACAGAATCTAAAATTTGTGAAATTAAAGTGATCGTGTTTTTGACTTACTAATATTTATGTAGGAGTTTAATTTCAGTATAGATTCACAGCTTATTATGTGTTTTTTGAAGTAATACATTATAAAAATTGCGGAACCACGTAAATCTCCTCTTGTCTTGTGCAATTTATTGCTTTTCTTTTTTAAATATTTTTCCGTTCTATTAGCCTGACATACTTCCCAACAATTGATGTCTGAGCACATGCAGTGTAATTCTGGTAGAAAAGTACGGTATTAGTGCAGGTACTATTCACAAGAATAGTGCGACACTATCGATCATCATTATTAACACTATTCACTACTATTCTTTAATAGTGATAGTATTATTCACCAAATAGTGATTGTTGTCTACCTTATGTGGTTGTGATATTTTTTTCTTACACGGAGTAGTATTCATTGTTACTATTCACAGGCACTATTCACATAATTTATTTTTGTGAAAAATGCCATCGGAAGAAGGGAATGTTAAGATTGACAAGTTCAATGGAAGAAATTTTAGATTCTAGAAAAAGCAAATAGATGATTATTTGTACTAGAAAAAATTACACATACCTCTGACAGGGATAACATCAGAGAATATGGCCAAAGCGAATTGAGATCTATTAGATTGACAAACTCTTGGTGTGATTCATTTGATGCTAACACGAAATGTGGCGTTTAACATAATTAACAAGAAGACCACTGTAGACCTGACGAAGGCGTTATCAAATATGTACGAGAAGCCATCTACTTCAAATAAAGTCTATTTGATGCGTCGATTATTCAACTTAAAGATGACAAAAGGTGGATCTGTTACGGAACATATCAATAATTTTAATGTAATATTAACTTAGTTGAATTCTGCTAATATAACATTCGACGATGAAGTCAGGGCGTTGATTCTATTATCATCTCTACCGGAGAGTTGGTATGCAACAGTAACTGCAGTTAACAGTTCATCGAGAAGTGCCAACTCAAATTGGATGATATTAGAGACTTGGTTCTAAGCGAAGATATTAGCCGAAAAGAATCAAGTGAACCGGATCTGTTTCTAATAACGAAAGCAGGGGGAGAAGCAACTAAAGAGAACAAAGTCATGGTTGTGGCAGATCAAAGTCAAGGAGAAGAGGGCAATCCAAAAAATGGCAAAGACATTACTTATTGAAATTGAGATAAAAAGGATCACTACAGTAGTCACTGTAGAGAGCCAAAGAAGAAGAAGAACGATTAATACAAGGATGTTAATTCAGCAAATGCAATTGCTGAACAAGTCAGTGATGCACTAATTTGTTGTGCAAATAGTCTAGTCGAATCTTGGATTCTAGACTCAGGAGCATCCTTTCACTCTACTGCATGCAAAGAATTATTGCATAATTATATTGCTGGAAATTCGAAAAGGTTTATCTAGTAGACGAAGAACCTCTGGATATTGTCGGGAAAGGTGAAGTTCATATAAAGACTTCACAAGGCATGCTATGGAAATTGTAAAATATCCGACATGCCTCAAGAAAAATCTGATATGTGGGTCATATTGATAGTGAAAGATATACAACAACATTCGATAATGGATCGTGGAAGATAATCAAAGGAAATTTGGTTGTGGCACGTGGCTTCAAGAAGGGAACACTGTATGCAACCGCAATACAGAGAGATACTATAGCAACAATTGATCATGGTCGTGACACAACACTGCGGCACCGGAGGCTCGGGCATATGAGTGGAAAGGGAATGAAGTTGTTGGTATCCAAAGAAAAGTTTCCAAACGTAAAGCATGTTGAATTAGGTTTGTACGAAGATTGCATTTACGGAAAACAAAAGAGAATTAGTTTCTCAAAGACGGGATGGACGCCAAAGAAAGAGAAGCTGAAACTAGTGCATACAGATATATGGTGACTAGCTCCTAACTTCTCTGTGAGGCTCACATTATTATGTCACCTTCATTAATGATTCTACAAGATAGGTATGGGTTTATTTTCTAAAAAATAAATCTGATGTGTTTGTTATCTTTAAAAGATGGAAAACTGAAGTTAAAAATCAGACAAGTCTAAAGTTAAAATGTCTGAAGTCTGACAATGGAGGAGAGTATGATAGTCAAGAGTTTAAAGCAATCTGCTTTGAGAATGGGATCAGACTGGTCAAGACAGTTCCTGGAACACCGGAACAAAATGGCGTTGCTGAGAGGATGAACAGAACCTTGAATGAACGAGCCAGAAGTATGAGAATACATTCTGCATTGTCTGAGTACTTTTGGGCCGTGGCTGTTAACAAGGCAGCTTACCTCATACACAAGGGACCCTCTGTACAACTAAATTTTGAAATTCCTAAGGAGGTTTGGACAGGAAAGAAGGTAACTCTCTCACATCTGAATTTTTTTGATTGTATTGCTTATGTGCATGTAAACTCTAATGATAGAGATAAGCTTGATCCTAAAGCCAAGAAATGTTTCTTTATTGGCTATGGTGATGATAATTTTTATTATCGATTTTGGGATGATCAGAATAGAAAGATCCCAAGACACAAGAATTTCACATTTAATGAAAATGTGATGTACAAGGACAAGCTTGAAGTAGAACCAACCAACACCAGCAAACATACATCTAAAACAGTTGAATTAGAAGAAATCTCAGAAAATGAAGTGGCTAGAGAGATTACAACTTATTCTAAAATTTAACATGACCAGAGATATAATCTGATGCAGAACCAAATCTGGAGTCAGGAGTTGAATCAAATTGGGGATCAGTTACTCTTGAACCTACATTAAGGAGAACTAAGAGGGTCACAAATGCTCCAGATAGGTTAACTCTCTCTCTCTCTCTCTCTCTCTCTCTCTCTATCTCTCTCTACTATTTTGCTTCTAACTAATACTAGAGAACCTATAATGACCCGGCTGGTCATTTTGGGAGTTGTAGCCCCGTGTCCCTATTTACTACTTATTTTATTCTTAATAGTTTCTATGTGACTTTTCGGGGGTAGTTGGTTCGGTTCTGGGGAAGTTTCGAAATGAGTTGAGACACTTATTCTCCACGTTAGAAGCTTAAGTTGAAAAAGTTGATCGGATATTGACTCGTGTGTATACGACTCCCGAACGGAGTTTTGATGATTCTGTTAGTTCTGTTGTGTGAGTATGGACTTAGGAATTTGTCCGGATATTGATTTGGAGGTCCGTAGTTGAATTAGGCTTGAAATGATGAAAGTTGAAAATTTAAAAGTTTGACCGAGAGTTGACTTTGTGGTTATCAGGCTCGGATTGGGGTTTTGGGAGTTAGAGTGGGTCCGTTGTATCATTTGTGACTTGTGTGCAAAATTTTAGGTCAATCGGACTTGATTTGATAGGTTTCGGCATCGAATGTAGAAGTTAGAAGTTCAAAAGTTCATTAGGCTTGAACCGATGCACGATTCGTGGTTTTAGCATTATTTGATGTGATTTGAAGGCTCGACTAAGTTCGTATAACGATTTAGGACTTATTGGTATATTTGGTTGAGGTCCTGGGGGCCTCGGGTGGAGTTCGAGTGGTTAACGCATCAAGTTTGGAATTTGAAACACTATTGAAGATCACCAGGTCTGGTGCAATCGCACCTGCGGAGTTTTGATCGTAGGTGTGATTAGGGAAGCGCAGATGCATCCTGGAGAGGTGCATGCAGTGGTCACAGGTGCGAGGGTGTTTACGCACCTACGTGGCCATAAATGCGGAGAATGGAGCGCAGAAGCTGAATTTGATTAGGGGACTGTGGAGCGCAGATACATAGGAGTTCCATAAGTGCGGACTCACACCTGCACATGTGTGATCGCAGAAGAGGAGGTAGTGGTGTCTTTGGCAAACCGCAGAAGTGGGAGATTTCTCGCACCTTCGAGATCGCAGATGCGACTAAATGAGTCGCAGACGCGAAAGAGCTGGGGGCAGAGTATTAAATTTGAGGGTTTCGTGATTTTTATCATTTTGGACATTTCAAGCTCAAGCTCAGGCGATTTTTGAGAGGGATTTTGAAGGGATTCTTGAGGTAAGTCATTTGTGGTCATTTTTATTCAATAATCTTGTTTCCGCATTGAATTTTCCACCTAGTTTGTGATTTGGAGAGTTTAATTTGGGGATTTGAGTGACGATTTGGTGTCGGATTTTGGTAAATTTGTTATGTTCGGACTTGTGGTTGAATGAGCTTCCAGATTTTGTAACTTTTATTAGATTCCGAGACGTGGGCCTGGGAGTCGACTTTGAGTTGGCTTTTTAACTTTTGGTTAAGAACTTAGCATTTTTATATAGAATTGATTCCTACAGCTTAAGTTGATTGTATCAAATTTTTTGTGGGTAGATTCGAGGTATTCAGAGGCTGTTTCACTAGGAAAGAGCTTGTTGGAGTAGAGATCTGCACAGTTTGAGCTAAATAACACTTCTAAACTTAGTTCTAAGGGTATGAAACCCCAAATTACGTGTTATGTGATTGGTGTTGAGATGTCGCATATGCTAGGTGATGGGAGTGTGGGCGTGCACCGTAAGAATTGTGACTTGATCGATTGCATGGAACTGTATAGTTGAATAATCTTGTCGTTATATGTATTTTCACCATGTGTTAGAGAAATGGAGCTGTCAGTCATATTAGAAATCATGCTTAGGCTACGTGTTGGTACGATTGGGACCAATAGAGGCTATGATACATGTTGAATTATTTTCTTAATTTACCATTTTGTACTTAGTCACATCTATTATTTGCATATTATATCTCAGACTCTATTGTCCTTTATTGATACATTACATCGTTATTGTTTGGGCTGATTATCCTAATCCTTGTGAGCCCGAGAGACTAGAAAGATTGACGACTGAGTGAGGCCGAGGGCCTAATTGTGAGGATATTTATGGGATCGAGATGCACGCCGCAACAGATTTATTTGATTCATGCCATGATTGGCTTATTATAGCATTTGGGATAGAATCACCCCTCTGAAGTCTGCACATCCATAGTAAGCGCAGGTACCTACTGAGTACAAGTATGTGTGCCGAGCATGAGTGCCGAGCGATTAGGAGGATTGAGTGGCTGTGAGGATGGAGTGACTGCGAGGAATGAGTGACTGTGAGGATGGAGTGAATGGTAGGACTAAGTGATTGATACTCTAA